TATATATATATATTATTTTTGTGGGTCAATTTGTAATGTAATTGGAGGATAGTATCGTATATTTATATTATTTTATTTTATATGAGTATATGACATGTTTAACTGAACACCAAATTCAAAAAAGGAGAAAATACCTTTGAAGTTAATGACAACTAGCGTGATTGCATTATATATTACATTTGTTTTTAAATATGTAATTAATGTGCAGTGTAATGCGCTAGTTAGATCCTTCTTCTTAGTCAATGAATATTTGTAAGTTAATGGTATTGTGATTATATTATTACCTTGTTTAAACTTTTTTACTACTCTTTGATATGATAATTTTAGAAGGGAATTAATTAGTTACTCAACTTTTCCATATATGTGCCAGTTTAGAATTTTCGACCTATCAAAGGTGTAAACATTGAATTTTGAGATCATTAATTAATTATTATTACATACTAGGTGAGTACTGCTTAATAATGAGATTCCTATTTTGACTTTTGCCAACAATTTTCTCTCTATTGTCAAAATATAATAAAGCAGTATCCATGCTAGTCGACGGATTAATTAAAATGTGTATAATTGACTTGAACAAGACCCTCATCAAATGAATGTAAAAAAGTATAATTAAACTAATAATTGGGTTACTAGCTAACGAAAAAAGAGCTTTAAAAAGGGCAAGATAACCATCTCAATACTTCTTTATCTTAATGCCACTTTTGTGACTATGTTATCTTAAGTATCTTTGACAAAAATAAATGTATATAAAAAGGATCGAAAATGTATATTTCTTATATCATCCTTCTACGTGCATTTTCAAATATAAGTAGCAAAAAATATTAAGGTGTCACAGGTTTATCAAGTAATATCATTTTGATACTACAAAAAAATTGGATGAGAAACTAAAATCTTCCTACCAAATACATCAAATATATTCATTGCCTCAGGAAAGACAAAAACAAAAAAAAATGTTATCCATTTTTAACCATTTGAAGATTGTGTATATAGGATCATTCAGACATTCAAATACAGTCAGACCTCTCTATAACAACATTCTTATATAACAACACTTCACTATAAAAGCCAAACTTTTTCGGAACCAATATTTATGTTATGTTATAATATATGTTCTCTATAACAGTATTTCGCTATAACATCCAAAAATATTCGGAACAAAACGACGATGTTATAGAGAGGTTTGACTGTATAGCTTGTTAAATTCTCCTTCAAGCCTCCTAGCAGACGACGTCCCTGATTTTGAATCTTGAATTGTAGGAACCAAACCTTATCATCATGCTAGGAATAAATGCTATCAACTGCACAAAACATTGGAGGTTAGTAACGTAAGTACTATTAACTTTTGAGTACTGATAATATTAAAAAATAAATAAAACATTACGCTATCAGAACAACTAAGAAAAAGAAAACAATAGAAAACAAGAAAAAGGTTAATAAGTATATTGCTTACCCAAGCAAGGCCGATGCAAAACATACTAAAACCAGGATAATTAAATGGAGCTCTCTCAGATAAGAAAAGATCTATAAAGAGATGAACATTGTTAGTTTGAAAATTTAGGTCAAATTAAACACATAAATTGAATAACAAATTAATTAGTTACCTGTCAAAGGACTAAATATAAATGGAGAGAGAATGTTGGCGAAGGAGCTTACGCCCGAAATGCACCCTTGAGCAATTCCCTACTAGGTCGACAAAATAACAATTAATGGAACATTCACTTATATAACAATCAAATTCAATAATATTGTTTAGATTACCTGCCTTATTTTTCAGGTTACTAGTCTCATAACTTATATAGTATAAAGATACTTTTCGTTGTTTAATTAGATCCTACATATTGTAATCTAAGCTTGTACAAAAGTACAAATCAAGGTCAATTGTATAGGAAAATTGACAATGCATCGTCGCGTTCAAAATAATAGCAAAAAATATATATTTTATATATATA